GCTTCAGACTCGACGTCCACGAACAGCCATTCGCAGTAGCTCACTTCGAGTCCGCTCAGATCGACACACAAGTAACTGTCGACCTTCGACAGGATGCGGGGATCCGCTCTCACCCTGTTGAATTACTGTACTTATGCGCAATCTAAGCTGGGAGAGCGGCGACTTGTCATCAATTACACGGACCCGTAACGAACAGCCATACATCATTTGAGCCTACCATCTGTGCTCAGCCCTGATACTCTTCCGACGTATGCTCTGGTACTTAGTACCTAGGGTGGTGCCATCTGAATCGCATCCTCCCGCTGATGGTGTTCCATTGTGTGCGACGGCACGCTTGATCAACGGCGTCTCTGAGAGACTGACGACTGGTCAGTGTTCATCTGTCCAATCCTCACATGCATAACTTACAACTGCCCGTCACCGTGTGGCTTGATAGTTCTTGTATGCGTTGATGGAAGTAATCGACGTTCACATTGGCGAGTACCACGGCCTCTACGTTCATTGGCACGCGGACATCTCCCAGTCTACCGAATTGCCACAGGAGTTCGCCATGACTGACTCCCGCCAGCACCTTGACGCGATCAGCAATTTTCCACCCCAGCTCCTCCCACTGTCCGTCGTAGTCTCGGAATGCTATCTCTCTCTTTCCAGGGTTTGGCTTCAGACAAATGGCGACGGGTGGTTCGTGCGACTACTCCGAGCGCGGTAAGGTTACGCGTGACACCCTTGAACGACAAGAAAACTGGGAACGTACTCGGGAGAATAACCATACGATCAAATCTTCGCTGATCGTCGGTCCAGACATTACCTCTATGCTGGGGCTGCGTGAAACCGCAGGACGCTCATAAGCTCCAGTCGATTCTGATTCTGAATCTATGATCTCTATGCACTCGTGCTGAGAGGGGACCGTCAAGTCGGAGATGGCAACACCAGACGGGCCGCGAGAGCCCCGGGCGGACTTGTGTGCAGTTGCAAGGAGTAGCCCTGAGACAAACCCAGACGGGGAGGGCCGAGGAAGATAAGGTTTGGAGGGTGAAGATGAAGGCGTGATGCGCGATGTCCTTGCGACTGAGGCAAGCGACCGTCCCTGTGGGAGAACATATGAACATCTTGCATTGAAGCTGCCCTGTAGTTAACCTCACTCGCGGGGCTACCGAATCCATCGGCAAAAGGTGTTCAGCTTGAAGCTGACGGGCGAGTCTACGGTCTCGCAGCTCTTGTAGGCGATCCGGGTCCAGACGATGAGAGACGTATGCGAATATCCCTCCGATACCGTGAACTTCGCCAGGATGAGGAAGACAGCACTACCCGTTCAAATGTTAGCGGCAATTGTGAACAAGCAGTAAGCCGTACTTCGATGAACCAGCGACCATCATCCGGCGTATCCGTGGAACACTGGATGTCCTTTTTTAGGATATGCCCAAGATTCCGACAGCGCCGACGCCGGTAGGTCACTAGCTGTTCGTCCACGGGCCCTGCGTTTGCTTTGAGTTCTCGTCGATAATCCGCCTCGATAGATCTCATGACGTTAGCGCGCAGAGTGCTTTTGGAAGGAGGCATGCTAGATAGCGAAGAGACCGTGTATGGGGCCCCGAAGTTTCTATGGCCTTATGAAGACTCGTGCCAGGGCTCAAGGATTGTGGGTGGACCAACGGGCTGTTTTCCGGTGGCAGACGTCGCTGTCTGTTTGATGATCATACTTGCCGTACACCGCAGCCATCGTACAAACACCTGTGAACACGATGCGAGATCTCGTGCATCTCAGCCGCTCTCAGGAGATTGTACTTAGAACACCGGTACTTACCGAGTTAGTCCCACTGCCTTCCTGATGGTATTGCCCCGTCGGAAGGTCCCTTACTAGTTCGCACGACTGAGCAACATGATTCTCGCAGGGGCAAAGGATCCGTTGAGGGACATCGTTTGAGCAGAAGTGTGAGATCACAGCGGGAGGAAAGTTGGCCTGGTCATCACGCGTTGTTTCGCGCGGGTTTCCGCGGGTTGCTATGCGACTGAGGCTACGAAAGCGCCAGCAAGCGTGGTTCAACCGCTCACATACCACAGTAGCTCCGAGCCATTGACACAATCTTCTTGTCAACTCTCAAGATCTCTCGGACAGGATAAGCCGAGTACAGCCTTCTGCCATCTGAGTCCACTCGGCTCCGGCGATGCCTCGTGTGTGCAATTTACTAGTTGAGGAATAGCGTTACTTGGTTCGTCAGCGCGTGAGAGCTTTGTCCTTGAGCGCGTGAGAGGTCGCTTGGTTCTCAGCAGTAGAAACGATCTCACTCGCGCTTGGGCCCATGGGACGTTAGGTAGAGAGAAAGCTATGATATCGTGCACGGCAGCCTCTCATGTCTGACACCTCACAGCCGCACCAAGACTGCCCGAATCCTAGGATAGCGTGTATGATAGGCTTACATTGAACAAAAGACAGTCCGAAGCCGGTCCATCGTTATATATTAGTGAATGTACAGTTCGGGGCTATCTCCGCGGTCTAACGTCAAAAATAAACCATCTCCGCGTTCCCAGCTCTCGATTTCCTCATTTGCAAGCAGCAGACGACTCGTAATCGCGGTGTTCACGGTCTCGCGCTCAGCTGCAGCGCCATAAACATCGTCGTGAAGCTTGCGACCTGCAGCAAGAACGGCGAGGGAGCGACGCGGCTCTAGCTCCCGAAGCTGGCTGAAATGGCGGCCGCCATCCGTCAAGACATGTGATAAGTCGAGCGTCTTGACGAAAGCGTGTTGCAACGAGCGAGCACTCTGGCGTTCTGCTGTCAACCCCCCCATTTCCCAAAAGCGAGTCTCATGGGCCCAACAGCGAGCCTGCGCGCGCAAGGCCAACTGGAAGCGTTTTCGGGCCGCCTCCTCGTGCCGGCGCGCTTGAACACCCTCGACCGAATTTGACTGGAGCATGGCGTCCATGTCTGCATGCTCCCACATGAAAGATAACTGCCGGCTGTATGTGAGAAGTCAATGAGAAAAGCTGTACAAGAGACGTACGTAGCCGGACGGACGTTGCCCGCGAATTGAGCACCGGAGACCAGCCTGAGATAGATGCGATTCGTAATGGCGTAGACCGATGATGTCGACGACGTTTTTGATGAACTCTCGACGCGCACAGTATCTCCCCTCGACGAGTTTTATGTAGTCCGAGGCGAGGTCGTTTGTGAGAAAGTATGAGTCGACAGCCGTGGCTGCTACACGGCAGACAGCTTCCCCAGCCGCGTGGGACAAACGTGCAAGATCTTCAAAGTAGCCGCATCCATCGTAAGGACACCTCCATATGCGGGCATAGGGAGTGTATCTGCTGGACGGACGTTTGGCGAGGGCTGGGTAAAGGTCGGAGATCGCTTGCAAGATGTAAGGTGCAGTATTCGGATGACGGGCGTGCGTCGGTATGTGTGCGTCTTGATTGACAAGAACGACGCGATATGTAGGTGTGAGCACTTCTGCTGTAGGCTCGTGTCGAGACAAGTCCTCGGGCCAGGTGAGCTCCGCGCTCTCCAGATCCTGCGGGTGCATGAACAATGAAGACACGCGAGATATATGGCGGAGAGCAACATCAGTCTATCAAGGTGTCAGAACGTACATTCAGATTCGCAGAGTGTGTGCGCCTACCATTGCTGACCATGTATCAGTGTCATCAGGGGCGGGAGCGGGGAAGTCTTCCTGAAGCACTTTTGCATCTTCTTGCAGTCCTTCTTGAGTAACGCCGGACGTATCGTTGCCATCCTCAGCGCCGTAGTCCGCCTTGTGCGCTTCCATGAGGAGTCAACCAGACGTGTCGCAAAGGTCGAGGCGGGGAGGTGAAATGCGCGGAAAGTGGGAAACGCAAGGACCCCATACGTGGAGGATGCTCCTAGCTTTTATACACACTGTCCCAAAATCGGCATACCCGCGCAAGGATGAGCCTTGGTTCAGGAGGTGTGAAGGGATTGCCCGGTTCCATCAAAAGCATGTGCGTGTACAGCACAACGCCCCATAATCGCATAGTAGGACCGGAAGTTGCCTAGTCTTTGAGTGAGCGTCTCGGACGCGAGAAGATCGTGAACTAGTACAGCACCGCTGCGAGCGCTGGAAGTGATTCGGAAACGCTCTGATGGATGCACTGCCGCAGGAAACACCCGCGCGGCCGCGCTCGGCTGGACGTAGAGGCCCCCCTCTAGTCGAGGGTGATGTTGTATCCAAAATCGGCCGTTTTGGGCACTTCCGTACGAACCCATTTCGGGCGTCTTCGTCAGCAATTCGGATCGGAGCCGACCTTTTGGCACCGGGCCGTACGCACTCTGGATGTAAGGCACTATATAGGCAAAGCTGTGTGCACTGGGGTATCGGACATCGTCGGTCCTTAATTCCGTACGCATAAATAGATATATGATTCGAAATAATAGCAGTCGTGACTATTACAGGAGATGTAGTGAGGTACGAAAGAAAACGAGAGAGCATAGGTACTACTAGAGGCAGAATACCACTATCGAACAACTACGATGACTTGGGTGGCTTGAGTGCGAAGCATAACGCCGCGACAGCCCGCTCGGCAGCACCAATGTGCTGCTGCAGGACACTGATTAGGTTTGCTGTGGCATCGTCTACAGTAACGAGAGTCACTGGGTGAGCACCGTTCTCGGAGATGTCCTGCTTGCGGAACACATGTGAGTTCGCAAGCGAGAAGAGAACGTGGGCACGGTCGAGACGCAGGACAGTGGCGCAGTCGAGACTCTGATACGCAGCGGACGAGAACGAGCGGCCGTGAGAGGGGGCGAAGAGCAGCATGGCGAAAGCAGATGGGTAGCCGATGCTGGAAGTCGAGTGAATGGGTTCGTACGTCGCCCCATGGGCCCCACTGTTCATGTGCATAGATATAACTGAAATAACCAATCAGTATTTGCATTGACAACACGAGAGACCAGTAGATACCTTGGCCGAAGG